GTAGTGATCCATGTTGGGATGTGTACAAAGGTGTGTGTCTTTTGAAAAGGTTTTCATTTGTTTTTTGAAAGTTGTTTTGAAAGTGTTGTGAAATGTGGTTTTTAGAAAATAGGCAAGTGTTTTGTTTTTGCAAGTTTGATTTAAATAACTAAGAGGTTATCTACTCCTAAATTTCTCAAAGTTTATTGCTATGTTTTAACCCTTTTGACAAGTTTGTTCCACCATTGTATTTGGTGGACAATCTCATGTTAGGATGTGAAAGGGACGGGCGTGGGTCATCGTTTAGACCATAATTGCAATAGTGCTAAGTATCTTTGGGCAATTTTTCCTTGAAAGGGACTTGATCATTTTAGGCAACTTTTCGAAAGCGTCATCGAGGGACTATGATCATTTGAATTGTTTGTTTTTTGCCCAAAGAAACCTAACATGCAATATGGCCCATTTATTTGAAGGCAACAAGTGGAATACCCTAGGGGTGCAAGTGTGGTATGTGTTGTCCATTTTTCATGCTTTGATTATCTTGAAATTAGGTCAAACTATTTTGTCCTTTTTATTTGCATACAAACCCTAGTTCTAGCATGGTATATTTAGAAAGCGTTAAAATGCGAAAAGTAAAATTCCTACACTATTACAACACAATATGGGAAGGGGGGTACAAATGTTCAAATGGGGGGATATTTAGACAAGAAATTTAAACCTAGCTATTACATCAATTTTGGAATATTTACAAGATAATTAATTGCATCAATTAAATGGAAAGTAAAATAAAGATGCAAAATGCAAAGAGGGTTTTCATATGCATGGAAAAAGGATATTTTTTATGTCAAAAATGAATAAAATAAAAAAATAGTATTTTTGGAGTTTTTGTGCTTTTAAGGGTAAAACCCTAATTTCTTAAATAAGTATATTAACCATTTAATATGTATAATATTTAATAATTATATACAAAAAATAAAATAAAATGGAGTATATTCATAAAAAGTATTTTTCATGTCAAATATTAATAAAATAAAAAATGTATGTATTTGGTATTTTTTACCTAAATGTACTAATATATATAAATATCTTTATTATTTACTAAATAAATATTATATATACAAAAATAAAAATAATTAACATTTATAAAAAAAGTATATTTTGTGTAAAATATTTTCAAAAAGAAAAAATGAAATAAAAAGTCAGAAATAAAATATATTTGCATTATTTTTCTAGTTTTTCTAAATAATAGTATATATATATATGTTTATGTACAAATGTCCATATAAACAAATAAATGCCTAAAAATATAAAAAATGGTGTAAAAATAATTTTTCATGTTTTTAATATTATGGGAAAAAATAAATAAGCCAAAATGAAAAAAAGAAAAGTCAAAAATCATGAAAATAAACATAATGGGCTCAGGGGGTATGAAACCAAAAACAAGGTGTGAAAAGAAATAACACAACAGGCCCAGCCCGTGAAGCTTCTTCTTCAACCTTCAGACAAAAAATGTTCCAAAACGCGCGCCTGTTTTCCAAGTTCAAACATCTGGATTCTTTGATCTTTTGCACAAACTCACAACATAAGAAATGTTAAGCATTGAATCACGATTCTAAATATATAAAGAACTCATCCTAACTCTCAGAAATGAGAGAGAATTTTGACATTCCCAAATCCTGACCTAACTTTTCTTCCATATTCAAACCTTAAATTCTCTCAGCTCAAGCAAAATAAATGAAAAGTAAAAGCATGTACAGATTCAGGGGCATCAGTAGAACACTTCTTATTCACAAACTTAGAGCTAATGATGCCTAGACTAAGAGTTAGAAGTTCAAGAAGATACATGTTCAGTTGAAGTTCTATCTGGCAATGGGGGATCTTTCAGAGCAAGATGATGATCTGTATAGCTTGCCTGAAGTGTGGTGATGCTATTCCAATGTTTACTTTGCTTTGAAACACCTTGAATCGAGCTATGGATCTCCAACTGTAAAACAAGAAAGTGAAAATGGTGGAACTGGTTAGAGGAATTACAGGTCGTGTTTTGTGTTTTGGTTAGCTTCAAGTGATGCTAGGGAATGTGTTTGATGAGCTTTGGGCAAGAAATCATGAAAGGAATGAGAGATGGGATTCAATCTGCAGACCCTGCCCTGTTTCTGCAGTTTGAGAGTGATTCTGGGAATGGGAGTGTTTGAGACCTTGTTTGCTCGTGTTCTCACTTGGGTTTGATGACTAGAAGGTGTACAAAATATTTGCTTAGGCTTTCTTTTGCTGAGATCAAAGTTGGTGATGTTATGATGTGTTTCTTCACACTTAAGCAAGCAAAGGCCACTTGAGTTTCTAAGCAGGTAGAGGCCCCTTAAACATGCTGCAAAACCTCTCCTTGATCAGTGTGTTTTGTTCATAATCTTGTGCCAATTAGATTTTATCTGTACCTCTTGGATTTGCATTATGACATAAAGCTTGCTTTTGCAAAAATGGCCATTTCACTTTTTCCATTTATGGCCTAATCCAACATGTAATGCTTAAACTCATGAAACAAGGCCTTAGCACAATGAACATGCATTAAATTATTTAGTGTTGGATGGTTTAAGGGCCTGTAATCAAGTGGCATGCTGGTTTGAGAAATTTGCACAAGTTATGATCATGGAAATTGGCCAATTCAAAAGTGAGTTTTTGCCATATTGCAAAATTCGAATCTCTCAAGTTATGAGGTTTTTTGATGAGTTCTTGGACATCTTGGAAAGCTTGGAATGTGTAATACAATCCATATTTGAAGTGCAAATTGAAATTCTAAGTGGAAGTGTATGGAAAATGGTCTTGAAGTTAGGTAGAAAACCTTGCCAAAATAGGTCAAATTTTCACTAAGTTAAGAATGGTTTAGTACCCTTATTCCAAAAATTGTAACTTGAGATACAAGCCTCTTTTGGGAAAACTTTGTGAATCAAAGTTGTATATTATGCAACAAGCTACAACTTTCATGTTTTGACTTTTGCTTGAATCCAAATGAATCTTGGTGAGAAGGTGGGGCAAAGTTGGGAAAAAATTAGGGTTTTTCATAACTTAGAAAAATTCTAAGTTATGAAAAATTCTCACTTCAAACCCTAATTTGCAATTTTTTATTTCTTGATGAACAAGTTTCATGATTTGGCATGTTTTGATGAAAAATGAATCTTGACTCTTGATTTTGACCAAAAAGTCAAAGTTTGACTTTTCAGTATACAGTCAAAATTGATCAATTGACTGGGAAATTCAACTGTCAATCTTGTGCATTTGGGATCTTTTGAATTTGCTGAGCATGTCAAGACATTTCCAAGGGGTCCTTGAGTCCATATGTGAGCTTGGTTTTCCATTGGCTAGGTCAAATAGTCAAAATTTGCCTTTGTGCAGTCAAAACCCTAAAAATGACCATTTTGCCCTTTTGATGATCTGATCAAATTTCTTGTGGAATTGTGATCCAAACTTGATCAAATGGTCCATGTGATTGTGTAATGTTGGTGTGGGTCAATTTTCATGAGGTTTGACTGTCAATTGGCCACAGTTGACTTTTTCCCCAATACATTTGATTTTTAGGTCAACTGTCCAATTGACTGGGCAAAATTTGGAATCAAGACTTGAAACTTGGTATGGATAAACTTGGGAGTCCAACATGAAGCATGAAAGTCATCTTAGGCATTTTAGGTCAAAATATCTTTGTGCAAACACAAACCCTAATTTGGGTCAACTGTGCAAGGAGAAGTCTTGAGCAGAGGAAACCCTAACTGGGTCTTGATCTTCAAGGGTCTTGTGATGAGAAAATGTTGAGGAAATGGGAGGGCAAATTTTGGGGTACAACATACGTGCTATCGCATGGGTCTCATCTGGATTCACATTACACGTTTATCAAATCATCATTTATATAGTTTGAATCATTTCTCAATTGGTTAACTTTCACATAGTTGCAAACATAGACTAATAATATACACTAACTTTTAAGCATTGGTATGTACTTATAACAAACCGTACATTCGATTATCTAACTTCAATTATATAAAACAACAATAAAGAAAGATTTAAAAGATGGACATTAAAATGAACCGTCTACAATTGGTATCTCATAGATACATTCATATCTACTGTGAATCTAAATGAGCTAACAAACCCCGGTTGAATCTAAATGAGTTAATTCTAAAAATTTCTTAAACATATTTTAAATATTAGTCCATTTTTTCAAACCTAAAATGTATGACAGCTCCCCGTCAAATTTCAGTTTTAAAACTTTCTTATTATATCATATTTACATTTTTTTACACACTACAATGTATGACAGTTCCTCGTTAAATTTCAATTTTAAAACCTTCTTATTAGATCATATTTACAAACTTTACAAATCTAAAATGTATGAGAGTACCCCGTCAAAAGTTAGTAAACTATGTAAATATACTTATGCAAATTCAACATGAAGATTAAAATCAAACCTATAATCTAATCTTCAAAATAAAAAAAATCATATATAAATTTATTGTAAAATTTTATAAATAAAAATTTAAGTTAAAAAACAAAATAAAATCATCAAATTTCCATTAAAAACGTGAGAGCGGACCAAAACTTTTTAAATTTAAAATAAAGAGAATATTTTCGTGAATCAAATAAAATTGGAAATTAAAATTTAAATATAGCTTTTTATATTTTAGATAAACTAAATTTTTTGACAAAAAAAATTTATTAAACCTATTTTAAATATATTTTGGTATCACTTTTTATTATATTTATTTATATTTTATTATTTTTTAATGTAATGTCATTAATTTTTAAATCATCCTAATTAAAAAATATGATTAGAGAAATGTATATAATTAGTTTATATTTTAAAATTAATTTTCAGTAAAAAAAAGTAATATTATTTAAAAATAATTTACGCATAAAATAATTTATGAAATATATTTTTATATCACTAAAAATGCATATCCAGTTAAATGCAAGTTGTATGCAATAAAGATTTATTAGGAAAAAATATTATTAAATACATATGTCTCTAAGAAACAATGAACAACAAACTTCATAGTCCCCTTCTCATCCACATGGATACTCATCCATGGGCACCTAGACGTTTGTCGCAGTTAGATTTGGAGAAGGCTCTTTCCACTTCACGGACGATGGTTGCTCCAAGTGAATACGATGGATTGAACCAACCATCACCATCAAGACGGACATTTCCTGTTGATTCAGGTGATTATCAAGTTGCAATCAATGAATGAAGCTTAAGGAGAAATGGATGAAGCTTAAAAACACAATGATAGTATATTAATCAATCTTCCAGAAATTTGTAGATAAAAACCACACAGATGAAAGTCTTGATGGTAAGAATTTGAAACATACATGCAGAAGAACTATCTGGTGGATTGAATCGCCTAACAAGAGCTGGTTTATTTCGCAGACTCGCCATTACAAAATAAGGATTACATGAACTTTGTGAAACTGGAGGATAATCCCCATCACTTCCATTCTCTGAGCCAAAACCAAAAATCCAGAAAGAGGTTTGAGAAACAATCATCGACAATCAATGCAACATATCATAAATAGACATAAACATAACCAAATCGATAGCCCCAACACATTCTAGTTATACCAAATCGCCACCGGGTTCAACGACGCTTCCGATTAACGTCAACAACGTCGGGTTCTTCAGCGATAGCCAAACTTGAAAGTGTTCCAAAGCAAAATCTGAATAAGTAACCAAATTGATTAAGATAACACGAAATATGAATAAGTAACCAAATTGATTAAGATAACACGAAATATGAATAACTAATGAAATTGATTAACATAACACGAAATTGATGTATTTATAGTTGTGGAATTTTGGTTGCAAAGAGGAAAACTTCGGAATTAAAAAAAAATGAAAAATTTGACTCAAACAATAGTATGTGCCGACACGAAATGTCAAACATTGACACGTGTGCCGACACATTAGTGTAAAATTTAAATCATGTGCGGACCTGAACAAAACTATGTGTCAACACATGCAAACAGAACCTAAAGGTTTCAATATTGTAGTTCAAATCCCATAAATAAAAAAAACAATATTAAAATGGCCCATAAACTATTTTAGAGTTGTTTGTTATAAAACAAAAATAAAAGTAAACGAAAAGAAAAAAAGTGCATATAAAATGTTGATAATTCAAAAACTATACAAGAAACAATTAAGAAAAATAAACAAATGCTTGTATGGTATGGTACGAGAGTTTGAGGGAGAGGGAGAATCTGAAACTCAACTGACTTAGAGGGAGAGGGAGACGTTTGCTTGGGAAGTGAATGTTGAGAAGTTAGTATTTGCAGGTTACTTGCTTTTAGTCCCACATTGACTACTTAATTTAATATTGAAGCGTTTATATAACACAGTTAAGTCATATCAGTTCGTCCCTTCGGGGACATCCGATAAAATTGGAACGATACAGAGAAGATTAGCATGGCCCCTGCGCAAGGATGACACGCACAAATCGAGAAATGGTCCAAATTTTTTTGCGATTTTTTCCGTTCAGACATTACTAGGGTTTCATCTTCTCTTTGTTATTAGTATTCTCTTTGATTTTGCGTTTAGGGTTTTGTAAATTCTTTTTCTGATTTGGTTATTATACTTTCTTCTGTCTATGATTTTGCGTTTAGGGTTTTGTAAATTCTTTTTCTAATTTGGTTATTATACTTTCTTCTGTCTATGATTTTGCGTCTAGGGTTTTGTAAATTCTTTTTCTGATTTGGTTATTATACTTTCTTCTGTCTAAATCATAGCTTTCAATTGAATTCTGTGTTAGAGAAAACATCAAATTCCTAAGCTTTCAATTGAATTCTGTGTTAGAGAAAACATCAAATTCCTAAGCTTTCAATTGAATTCTGTGTTAGAGAAAACATCAAATTCCTAAGCTTTCAATTGAATTCTGTGTTAGAGAAAACATCAAATTCCTAAGCTTTCAATTGAATTCTGTGTTTCTGTCTAAATCAAATGCAAATTCACCACATCATAGCTATCAATTGAATTCTGTGTTCCAGAAAACCCATTTGTCACTTTTGATGATGTTTGGCTATTGCTAAATGATGCCCGTCTTATTTATAGCTGCAGGTAAATGGAAACCCATTTCAAATGTTTTCAACAACAAACAAGCTAAAGCTCTCAAGATTTAAGGTATCACTATCTTTTGATGCTTCACTAAGTAAGTCATTTGTGATGGATGTCAAGGAAACTTGTGTATTTTTATACTCTTCATTCAACAGTTTCTTCAAACAGAAATTCATTATTGTTAAAGAATGCTGTCCATGACATGAGAGATCCACATGGTATTGTCTTTTAATGTCTCTCCATCAAGTTCAATTACACTGCATATGCATACCCCACTTTCTCAATGAAAGCCTAGCAGATTAACCACTCTGAAGTCAAATTGCTACTCATACTTTTGTACTAGACATCTCACATGTTCTCTTCATATCGATAACGCGGTTCAATACCCATATATAGCTACTCTTGTTACCGTGGATTATAATCGTTAGTTGCCTACAAATCATTAATATTAGGTGGATTATAATCGTTAGTTGCCTACAAATCATTAATATTAGGTGGATTATAATCGTTTGTTGCCTACAAATCATTAATATTAGGAGGCTACACGGAACACATATAGAGGGATTGGTCATTAGTCATGCTCACCACAAGATAGATAGCAATTGAACAGTTATTGGGAGACTTTTCATAATTTTATGGGATTGGCTTCTGTTTTAAAATCTAACTAATTCTGCGCCTATGATATTAATACATGCTCTCTGCAGACTCTCTTTAGTCATGCAGTTCAGCCCCCGAAACATGTGACCTGAAATTTTTATTGTCTCCTTTGTCTCTTTACTAAATGTAAACTGAATACTCCAAATGCAAGCAGTTCATCATAATCTTTTGATTAGGAAAATACATAATAATATACACTTTTATGAATGCTGGAGGATGCTAGGAGCTTTAAGTAAAGGGTTGCCGCTAATTGAGTGCTACCGCTGATTGAGTGCACAGGAAAGTCCTTGCGATTGCCGTCTCTACCACTTTCGTTAAACATCAAACGAGAAACGCAACATACAAAATCATCGGTATGTTTCTTTTTTTTCATTTTCATTTCACTTCTACTGACCTACTTCCAATGTTCTATCATGTGCTAAACAAATCGGTGATAGTCGGAGGAGCTTTCTTATATATTATAGCATAAATATTGCTCTGCTTAGATGAAGAAAGCTCAAGACATGTGAACACGTGACTCGTGAGCTTAGATACAAGATATAGCTTATCAACTATTAGAGTCTGTGTGAATGTTTTATTAGGTTTGAGAAATTCGCAGAAACATTCGAGCTAGGTTTTGGTTACAGCATGTAGTACCCTTATGTCATCATTATAATAAACCAAGGAAAACTATGTTTGTATTTATAGCTTATAAATAGAAGCAGATAGGAGTCCATTGAGTTGTCGAATATATTGTGTCATTATGATTAGGAATAAGTAATAACAAATAATCTCTTCCTGAATTTGTCATTCAGACGGACAATTCTAACCCGTTCCAAGGATAGGAAAAGGAAAAAAATCTATACAAATCTAAATGATGACTATTGTACAAAATTTCTATGCTAATCTATGCCAGTCTCCTTTAGTGTAAGATTTATAGGCTATTGAAATGAGAAGTAATATCCAAGAAAACATCTTCTCTGCAAGGAATTGAGAGGCCGCCCATCGGATGATCATATCCGGAATTTTCCTCAGCTTGACTCAACAGGTTTTGAAATAAAGGTTGGTTCAAGTATGAAAGGGGGATGACAAACCGCTTCATTTCCTCTCCCACGTACACTGCAAAATAGCCCTTGGGCACATTTGATACTTTTGATGATGTTTTGATATTGCGATGTGAAGACCGTCTAATAGCAGCAGGTAAAAGGAAACCCATTTCAAATGTTTGAAGAAAAAGCTGAATTTCTTTGATGTAAGAAAAATGTATCTGAGTTTATTTGCTTGAGAGCTTTGTGATGGTTGTGAAGGAGGGCACTATATTTATAGTTTCCAAGATTTTCTTGAAATCCCTTTGCTAGAGAAATGATTTTTGAATGATGGGGGACATGAGATGAGAGATCACATGGTGTTGTCTTAGATGCCTCTGTCAAGGATCAATAAGTTCAATAAGAGTGTAAACCCCACCTTCTGAATGAAAGGCCAATTTTAAACCAACTGCTTGTACTATGCCTACTCATTTCTTTTCAGACATGCCTCAAACATGGTACGTGTTATCTTATCTTCACATTGATCACATAATGTTGATGTCTTACGTGAAGAATTTTGAGAAATATCATCCATAAACTAAAACACTGTTTATGAATTGTGCATATTTATTGTTCTTGACTTAGTTCTTTGTTGGAGACTAAGGTTCTCAAGAGATCACATGATAGTGTCTAGAGGTCTTTGAGAAAGTAATTAAATGTATGTCCTACATTAAGAAGCCCTGCCAACATGAAACTACTAATTTTTAAACCGTTGCAATGACGTTATTATTATGTTTCAGTCAGGCTTAAGACATCTTTAATTTTCTTCAACAATTAATTTTGATATGTTTCGTACACTCGCATTTTCTAACTTTTAAACTATATTAGTTTATTCTATAAATTAATTTAGCAGACATAGAGAAGAATGACTATGGTCAATTGTTGGGGACTCGAAAAAGAGGATAGAAACCCAAGTTTTGTTTTCTTCCAGAGATGAATTTATCCCATACTTCTACATTTAAAATGATTTAAAATATATGGTTGAGCCAAAAACCTTTTTAATATATGTTGTAACTATGAAAAACCTTAAGAAGTAAATATAAAAGTTTTATCAATAGTGATTTACTACTGCTTGTATTTGAGTTTTTGTTGAAAGAACACAAATCACAATTTAGAAGCCACTCATATCAACAAGTGCATTGCATACTTAACAATGAAAGAACTAGAGTCACAAGAGGATCTACGCAAGAATTTGTTTGAGGTTATGTGACAACTCACAATGAGTTTTGTGTTGCATGCTTTGAATATCTATTGCACCAAGAGAAATGACAAGTATTGCACCAACTAAATATTTTGAGGATGATTGACCAAGAAGATATTATCCTTACATAAAGATGAAAACATTTTCATATACTTATGAAATAATATTATGATGAATAACATGTTCATTACATTCAATAAAGTGTTTCCATGAATCAACTGAGTAAAAAAATATATTTATGGAAGAATATGATATGCATTATTACAATCATCATAAGAGAATGTTTGCCGAATGTTTAAAAGTTTACAATCTTCCCCAAATTCAGGTTGTTCCCAATCTTCCTCAAATTCAGGAAGATCACAATTATCAAAAAAACTCATGAATAAGAATATATTTGAAAGTATGAAGTTATTGTTCACTCATTGTTCTAGTAATATTTTGATTTGAAATTGGTTAGTGGAAATAGTATACATTACATTAGAATGATCATTGCAATTGATGTTAAGCATTGTTAATCCTGCAATCTAGGATGAGTCACACTCAACCATTATTAATCCTGTAATGTAGGCTAAAAACTTTGAGTTTAAAGTCTTTCGGGTGTAAATCGACCAGCATAATCAATCAGGCGAAAATCCTACTGAGGACCCGAATGTGCACTTTTCAGTGTTTGTGTAATTCGCTGACACGCTGAAAAGTAATAGCGTTGACCCTGAAGCCATTCAGTTGTGTTTATTTCCTTTCTTCCTAAGAGACAGGGTCAGAGCTTGACTACAGTCTATGCCGTTAAAGAAATCAAATTACTTGTTTCAGACAGACCAATAGTGTTAAGAAATCAAATTACCTGTTTCAGACAGACCGACAATGAATCTCTCTTTGAAGCATGGGAGCGATACAAAGACTTGACGAGAGCATGTCTGAATCACATGTTAGAAAAATGGTTAATAATTCATACATTTTACGACAGTTTTCTTTATAATACAAGAATGACTGTTGATGTCGCTGCGAGAGGAGCTTCGGTGGACAAACCCTTCCAAGAAGCCTACCAACCCATTAATAATATGGCCCAGAACCATTATCAGTGGGGGAGCAAACACCCTCCTGTAGAGAAAATGCAACTGAAGGGAGGTATGCAGGAAATTAGCAACTTTAGTCATATGAATGGAAAAGTCGATGCCCTTACCCATAAAATTGATAATCTTAGTATCAATCCCGCAACCATCGTGGTTGCAGTAACTCCCCAGTGTGAGATATGTGGAGTCATAGGACACCTCATTGTTGAGTGTCAATTTTTAGCTAAACCAACCCCTAACCAGGCCAACTACGCAACAAGGAAATCCGTATTCCAACACGTATAACCCTAGATGAAGAAATTACCCTAATTTCTTCTACAAAAATAAAATGCCATGTTTGCACCCAGTCATGTACCTACTACTCCTTCAGGTTTCCAAAATAAAAAAGGAGCCCATGTTGCTCCCACTGCCCCTAAAAATGTCAAACTTAGAACTAATGATATAGAACTTTGTCTTGTCTCAAACTCAACAAAATAAAGAGTTCACGGATCAAAATATTCATCATTGACATCATTTGTTCCCTCATATAGAGTTTGAAGAGCGCCCCACATATCTTTGGCACTTGTATGATGTGATATATCATAAAATACTTCCGCGCTTAAAGCGGAGATAAGTATATTTCTCGCTTTAAAATTATATGAATCCTTTTTGGATTCATCATAATTACAATCTTTTAGGTGTTTTACAACTCCATCATCACCCATAGGGAAAAATGGTCTCTTGGTGACGGCACACCACATTTTTTTTCAATTGATAATAAGTGTACGTTTATGATCGATTTCCAATAAGTATAATATCCACCTTTAAAAAATGGTGCTCTATTGTATGTTCCCTTTGGATCGTCATCGTCTGAAATATTCTCAAAAAAATTGGAGTCGATTACACTTAATCAAAAGACCATCTCTTGATGTCAATTGTTGGGTGAGAATATGGAGTAATAAAATAGTCTAAATGGGGGAGGGGTTAATAGTAGGGGTGGGAATAACAGGGGGTTACAACCAAGCCTACATAGACCAAGTTTTTTAGATAGAAAAGGCTTATGCTTTTTTATAAGCTTGTTTAGTTAAATAGGTCAGACCACAGACCATACAAAAAGTCTTATAAGCCTATCAGGTCAAAATGGAGCGGGGCAGGGTGATCATAGTTGAGGATGAGGGTCTAAAATCTAAGTCCATTCTGCAAAAAAAGTGAGTGCAAGACGGAGAAAGCCCGCGGACACTACATCTTTTAAGCCTAAAAATGAAAACTATTATGTTAATATTTGTGCCCGTAAAAGCCCGCGTAAAAAATAGGACAGGGCGGGACAAACACATTAGAGAGTGAGAGTCTAAATTCTAGGCACGTCCTACACTAAAGTGCGGGCAAAACGGGCATGCCCAACGGGCCAGACCCGTTTTCCCACCCTTAGATATACCATGCTGGACATGCCTCGAATTCCAGCTACTTCACTTTATGTTTTTATCTATTTACAAGTGTAAAATAAATGATTTAATACTTCAGTTTCTTCAAAAACCTGAGGGATAAGATAATCAGATTTTACTATAAAAATACTCGTTGAACAAATTTCACACAAATGTTATCTTATTTGTAGCCCTCCCACCGTCGAATGCATCATTTTTTTTGGATGGATTGCAAAACTGGAAAAAAAATGTTCTTCTACCTTGAACAAAACATTTTTCCGCTTTTACAATCCATCTCAATCAATGGTGTTTATGCTGTTGTTGTTGTTGAAGATTTTAAACAACTATGATTTATTCCTAAAAGTCTTTAATGATAAATTGCAAGTGCAGAAAAAATATTTTCCAATTTTTTGAACAAACACCTTATTAGAATTTGGATGCATTCAAAGCATGCACATTATATACGCTAGTGAAAACAGTGATAATGATAACATCAACAAACAATCTTGGATGCAAAATCGTGACATCAAACATCAACGCCTATATGATGGATTGCAAGTGCAGAAAAATTATTGACGAGAATTGTTTTAAAGAATTTATTTTAAGATTATGTGTAGACAATGTAATATTAAAAAAATTATAATAATTATTATCACTTCAATTTTTAACTTTACCTCAGATAATAGTTAAACAAAATAACAATTGTCACCTCGATTTTATAACCTTAACCAAGATGATAGTTAAAAAAATAATAAATAATAATAACATTACTTCGGTTTTATAAATAAACTGAAGGCTATAATATACAGGTGCTACTATAAAAGTAATCGCTAGATTTTACCCTAATTCGTGCTAATATGAAGCCGCCCCAAACTTACATCATTATTTAGGATTGATTGCAAGACAAAAAAATCTTCAATGCTCTTCTATTTAGAACAAAATATTTTTTCTGGCTTTGTAATTTATCTCACAAAATGGTGTTGTATTTTTTGTTTGGAGAAATGTTGTTGTTGTATTTTTGCTCATTTGATAGATTGCGAGTGCAGAAAATCATTATTTCCTCATGTCACTAGTGCAGAAACTACATTTTACATCGGATGAAAAGTACTTTTTACATCGGGTCTTGGTTCGATGTAAATCCAAGCGATATAGTAAATCAAAGACATTTTACATCGGACTACAGCCCGGTGTTAAAAATCAACCTACTACATCAGTTATATATTAGATCTAATGTAAAAAAATATATAAAAATTAAAAATTAAAAATAAAAAAATAAATGCAAGCTTTTACATCGGTTTCTTAGCTCGACCGATGTAATAAATTGGTTTTTACATCGATTTTAAACAATATGTCTGATGTAATATATTTTCTATATTTAACTAAATCAGGTGCATTGTCGGAATTTATTTATTTGTACCTAATTTTTCATATTTTTCCAACATCACAAGACCACATTTAGGTCTTCTTTTTTTT